AGTGACCTTTGGCCACTGACAAAGAAATAATCCGACTATTTGCAGGCCTTCACTGATAGTTACCTACTCCTTAAAAAACACTTTTTCCCCCCCAGAGGAAAAGGACATATTTTGTTTTTCAAAGCATTTTTCACCACTAGAGAAAGCAAGCCAAGACCTGAGGCAGAACCCCATGGAACACTCCTTGCCCGAGCCACATGTGTCAGGGCAAATTGGTGACACTGCACTGAGGAAGGTATTCGGTGGCTTAACAAATGACTTTGTGATTTACAGATATAGCATCCCTTGCATGTTTTCAGAGAACCTGGAATACCTCATTACAAGGAAGAGGACAGCATGGGATCGACTTGTAGAAAACTCGGTAAACACAACAGCCAAATCAACAGACCCCAGTAACCTAGCAGCAGACTTCCACCTGACCAAAATGGCCTTGGTGTCTTGGTGTTGAAACTGCCCTTTTTTCTTTTGAGTGGGGACCTCACTATGTCGCCCAGACTGGTCTGGGCAGACAAAAAACAGAAATAAAATCAATCATTCTTATTTTTAAATTTTTTGGACAGTCAGAACCCATACTATGCAGACACTAAGCTTAGTGCTTGGGGAACAGTGATAAAAAGCTAAGACCCGGCACAGCCCTCACAAAGCTTCCATTCTACTACAGACCGGCTCCAAAGTAATTCTATGTAGATTTTCTTCTGGCAGTTGTACAATATTCTGCCCTAAATTAACAAGAGAAGTACAGATATTTTAAATGATGTTTAAGATACTTTAACAATAATAGAAAATCCTATAAGAATAATATTTAATAAAAGAAGCAAATTGCATAAAACATGATCTCATCAAGTTAAAGAAAAAAACATAAAAGAAATCTTTAATGGTTGGAAAACTGACCTTTAAGAATAAATGATTGGGTCAGGTGGCGATAGCTCACGCCTGTAATCCTAACCATTTAGGAGGCAGGAATCAGGAGGATCATGGTTCAAAGCCAGCCCTGAGCAAACAGTTCATGAGACCCTATCTCAAAACAACCCATCACAAAAAAAAAGGACTGGTGGAGTGGCTCAAGGTGTAGGCCCCGAGTTCAAACCCCAGTACTACACAAAAAAATAAATAAATAAATGATCGTGAGTTGGAGGCCAGCTTGGGCTACACAGCAGAGACCCTCTCTCAAAACAAACAAAAATAAAATAAACTTTTATAGGGGGAAAAAAAAAAAAATCACTGGCCTGAGATTATAGCTCAGTGATAAAAAAAAAACTTGCCTAACAAGCTGGAGGCCCTCGGTTTAATCGCAAGCACTGGGAAAAAATGTGACACATATTCCAAGCCATAAATGAAGTTTATCACACAGTATAGTTACATGGCCAGCAACCAACAGAGGAAAATATTGCAATACACGGCAGCTGAAAGGTTGATGTTCAGCCAGGCGCCAGTGGCTCATGCCTGTAATCTAGCTACTTCAGAGGGTGAGAGAGGAAGGATGGGAGTTTGAGGCCAACTCCAAAACCACCATAGCAAATGGACTGGAGGTGTGGCTCAAGAGACAGAGTGCCTGTTGCAAGCTGAAGCCCTGATTTCAAACCCCAGTCCCACAAACTAAATTAATAAAGGCTGATACTCTTCATAAATGACTGTCTTTTCCAAGAGATATACACCTTAACAGAAAAATGTGCAAAAGACATAGATATAATTAAAACGAGGCCGGCACCAGTGGCTCACGTCTGTCTGTGATCCTAGCTACTTGAGGAGTACCTCAGTCATGGCAAATCTCCTAAATAACTAGAGCAAAGCAGACTGGAGATGTGACTCAAATGGTAAAGCACATGCTTTGTGAGCGCGAAGCCCCGAGTTCAAATCCCACTCTCTCTCTCTCTCATACACACACACACTTAATTAAAAAGAAATTCAAAAAGTTCAATGAATATTTTTAAGTATTCAAATACATTAGTAACCGTAAGAGTGCTAGTTTAGCATGACGCCAGTGGCTCACGCCTGTAATCCTAGTTACTCAGAAGGCAGAGACCAGGAGGATGGAGGTTTAAGGCCAGCCCAGGAAAATTGATCATGAGACCCTATCTCAAAAATACCCAACCCCAAAACAGGGCTGGCAGAGTGGCTCAAGTGGTAGAGCACCTGCCTAGCAAGCATGAAGCCTGAGTTCAAACCCCAGTACTGCCAAAAATAAAAAAAGAATGCTAGTTTAAGATCAAATTCAATAGCCAGGCACCAGTGGCTCACACCTGTAATCCTGACTACTCAGGAGGCAGAGATCAGGAAGATAGTGGTTTGAAGCCAGGCCAGGCAAATAGTTCCTAAGACCCTATCTTGAAAAAAGCTATCACAAAAAGGGTTGGTAGAGTGGCTCAAGGTGTAGGCCCTGAGTTCAAGCCCCAGTACCAAAAAAAAAAAAGATCAAATTCCATGTTTCACTTATCAGATGAAAAGTGACCGTTCTCAGTACTGGGGAAGACAGTAAAATATCATGGCTGGCCTATAAACTAGTGCATCCTGAGAAGATAATTTGGTGATATGTATCCAAAGCCTTTAATCCAATAATTCTGCTTTTAGGTATAGATCTGAGAAAGACACGAGATTTATAAACAAGGATGTTCAGAATATTGAATTTCCAACAACTGAAGTTACCTGTCCATAATACGAAACTGGCCAGAGTTACAAACTCCACACCTAACACTGTAGCTATTCAGGTCCCCAAAGCATTTTCGCTTTTGGGGCAGTACGTTGTACTAATAATCAATAAAATGTCATTTAAAAAGCGTCTGGAGCAAGGAGTGGGGCTCTGTAGCAGAGTACTTGTCAAGCATGCAGGAAGCCTGGGTTCCATCCCCAGCACTGACAAAAACATAAATAAAATTTTTTTCTTGAATATCCAAAGCATATCAAATTAGCACAGGAAAATGGCACAGTGGGAGTAACTCCCTCTTCTAACATCTACAGTGAGCAAGATGTGCCTCTTTTAAACTCTTTTTCTATTTTTGAGGTACTAGGAATTGAACTCAGGGTCTACCTTGAGCCACTCACCAGCTCTTTTTTGTGATGGTTTTCTTTCGAGATAGGGTCTTGAGAACTATTTGCCCAGGCTGGTTTCGAACTGAGATCCTCCTGATCTCTGCCTCCTAAATAGCTAGGATTACAGGCATGAGCCACCGGCACCAGCCTTTTAAAATTCTTTTTAAAAAGACCTATTGTGCTGGCTGCCAAACACCTCCTTGAAATTGGCTGATTATAGGGGTTGAGCATGGCTAACACAGCCAAATTCCTTATAGACCTGGTCGGTCAGCAAGACCTGAGAGCTCACTCTCGGCACTGTGGGATGTGGCCAAGAAGAACCACATCAGTGGACTCTAAATCTCATGCAAGTCCTTCCATCTGACCTAAAGCAAGAACGAAGAGGCCCAGTGAGGAAAGAAACTGCTCAAAGCTGGCAGCATCTGACCTTCCATGAATGAGCAAGGACAATGGCAGAAGTCACCGCACAAACAACCACAGACACAGAGGAGTGATTCCACTTGGCTCGTCACAGCCATCAATGGCCCCTGGCCTCTACAGATGGAGCTCAGCTGCACAAGACTAACTGGAGGCACCGGGCAGCCCACAGGGACAAGCCCTGTCTTCCTTGCGGTCAAATGGGGACAGCGCAGTTTCTGTCCAGGAGCAGACTCGGAGCCGCTGCTTGTAATGGGGTGACAAGCTCAGCAGACAGAGAGCCTGATGAATGCAATGGATGGACTTCACCTTCTCCCCAGATGGAGGAGACCAACGCGCTTACTGTATGCCCCATAATTCAGGGTGGCCCCACAGAAATCAGCGTTCCTCTGCCCCTCTGTGCTTCCCATGTAAGTCAGTGAAACATGCTGGGGGCTCATGAGGAAGAATGTGCTCAACACAGACCCTAATAGTGACAGAAATTGTCAAAACTCTGACCATCAGGACACCGATGCCACCTGCGCACCTGATAAGGGGAACTAGCACTGCCTGGCCTGCAGTCCCAGCACTCGGGAGGCAGAGGCGGGAGGATCGCAAGTTTGAGGCCAGCCTGGGTTACAAAGAGAGACTCTGTCTCGAGAAAACAAGCCCAAACCAGGAACTAGCAATTGGACAAGCTCCATCATGCCAGGAATTTCATTTACCTTCACACTTCTTCACAAAAAATTAAGACTTCTCCCCAGTGCCGGTAGCTCACACCTGTAATCCTAGCTACTCGGGAGACAGAGGTAAATAGTTCTCAAGACTCTTCAAATCCCAGTACCACCACCAAAAAAAAAAAAATTAAGACTTCTTATTTTGCACATGAAGACACTCAGGCTCAGAAAAAAAGAAACAGCCACTCAAAAGTCACAAAGCTACTTAGTGCAAGAGTTGGAATTTGAACTCTAAGCTTAGGTGGGCAATCTCGCCCCATTGCCACAAAGAAAACACAAGCAGAAGTCAGTCCCCATGCTACAGAGGACAGGGCCAGCCTCCCCGTCAGCACTGCCCTGGGCAGTTCCAAAACAGGACAGCAGATCTGGTAAACTAAAAGCGCTCAGTCTGTGCTTACAAAGGGCATCAATGGCAGTCACCATCAATGGTATCGGCCACCAGCCACTGAACATCTGCTCCACGCAGGGGCTAGGATGAATGCTACGGGTGCCCCATGCTTGGCCTGCATTCTAACTGTGTAGTCCACATTTCCTTTTTCTTTTTGAGATGGGGTCCTGCTGTGTTGCCCAGGGTGGCCCAGAATTCCAGGGCTCAAGAGCTGCCTCAGCCTCCCAGTAGCTGGGACTGCAAACATGTGTCCCCATGTGTCCCTGTGCCCAAGGGTTCAGCGTTTCCCCTTTCAGATGGAACCGTGGAGACTCAGGGAAGAATCTGAACCTGTCCGTGACACCAAAGCCCTACTCTTTCCAGAGCCCCACCTCACCCATGTGACAACTGATGAGGCCCTCACTGTTCATGCGTCATCCTGGCCCCTGTCCCACCCTGGTCTGGAGCAATACCTTGGTTGAGGTAGGTCAGGGTCTCTTCATGCAGCTTCACAGCTGGGGACGTGGCAGCACACAGCACGTACTGCAGGGGCGGCAGGCGGGCTCCGTTCTCGGGGGACAGCTGTGGCTCCTCCTGCTTGAAGATGGGCAGGGCGAGCACATCCCTGCAACACACAGGAAGTTACTGTCACAAGCAGGATCCTGGGGCCCTTCCCAGAGACAGAGCAAAGCAGGAGAGCTAGACGCAGACCGCGATGCTGGCCTAGCTTCTGACCCTCAGGTCACAAGCACTCCAGATGTTTAACAGGTCACTCCTGACACTCAAGAGATTCAGCCATCAAGTCACTGAGGAGGTAAAAAGGCGTAATCTACTACCTCCAGCAAACTTAGAAGTGACAATCTTAGAAGTGACGGAGACTAGCAGCAATGAAGTGACATTTAGAAGTCATTTGCACCCTCCCACCCCCTCACCCCCATGCTGTCGATGCAACCTGGAACTTCACACAAGCTGGGCAAGCCTCTGCCACTGAGCCATGCCCCCAGCCCCCAGCCATTTGGTTTCTATCCACAGGAGACCACTCATCACATGTTACTTTTAGAATAACCTGAGGGATGAGACACTTTAGTTTTTAATCAACTCATCTGTTTATCAGCCACTTCTCAAGACCAAAAACTCCCAGCCTTGAGGCTCCGTGAAGTATGCAAATAAAGAGACCAGCTGGCTTCACTCACCCAGGTGGACATTCCCCCATCCCTTCTGAAAATGACCTGCTCCCCCCGCCACTCCCCTCCCGATTTAAGGCTCATATCTATCCCTCCAAACTGCAAAAAAGGAGGAAGAACCTTGCTTTCAGTCAGTTTTTTTACCTAAATGTAAAATCTGAGCTGCTCAAAGATTCTTTTCTTCTACCTCAATACACAACTCCCACTGCATCAAAAATGCCAGTCTACCATCAGCCTGTGACCAAGGTACTTGTTTCTAGATTTTTTTTTTTTTTTTTTAAATTTAGACAAGGTCTCACTTTCTTGCCCAGGCTGGCCTCCAACTCCTGGACTCAAGAGATCCTCCTACCTTAGCCTCCCAAATAGCTGGGATTTCAGATGGGCACCCTAAGCAAGGGACCAAGAAATCCTTGAGAACTTGAGTGACCTATAGGCAGGAGGGACTTGCTTAAGACTTCTAAAGTAGTGCACTACAGAAACAGGTGCCAAAAAGGCATCCTGCCCTATCTTGATAACCCTTCTCCCTTCGTGGGTCCCACGGCCATGAATCATCAGCCGACCCTACTTCACAGCATAAACAGTCACTGGAACGACCTGTTCCTTGCACATCATAAACGAGTGTCTATGAAACACAAACTCAGCACACCACACCCCGAACAAGTCTAACCAATTCACAGAAGGAAAAGCCTGGCTTCGGGCACACCTCACAAATCTTTCTCAAGCCACCATCTGCTGCCCAAAGAGGAGAGCAACCCGGCTTCGCCCACTGGGCGCCTTCCTTTTCCCAGCCCCAGGTGGTTATCTAGGAACAGGCAGGCCTGCTTACCTGGGAATTGCATAATTTCATGTTTGCCCAGACCATGTTAAGTTAATAATCCATGCACTGCAGCCTTTAAATTTAAAAAAGAGGGAGGGTGGTGGTGGCTAAGAACCATCACTCAACGGTAACTTGTTTTAAGCCTGGCATCCTTATTTGCCAAGGAATAAAAGTGACCAGAACATTAAACAGAAAGGGGAAGAAGGGAGTAAAGGCCACTACCCTGGTGAGGTCAGATGACCAAAAAGAAAAGACAAAGAAGCAAGGAGAGATGGGAGTAAGTAGCTCAGTGGTGGAGGGTGGAGTGCTTGCCTAGCATGAAAGACGCCCAAGGTTCATCTCCAACACGACAAAAAAAGGAGAAAAAAAAAAAAAAGGAAATCCAAAGAAAAGTCAGGGGACCAGGGACATATGCACCAACCCAGCCCCCCTACCCTTGGGTTCCACTGAGGTAAGCCTGCTGGATGGGGAAACCCCCAACTTCAGACAAGTGAAATTGAAGGGCAGCAGCCCTTCATCCCCAGTTCCCCTGCCTCTCCTTCTCGCAAAACCAAAATCCTAAAAGGTATCTGAGCTCCACAGAAATCTCCATCTCAGTAGTAGATGTCAAAATGCACTCTAGGCCAAACAAAATCGTTTCATAATGGGAAGAAGTTTTGGGGATCCAGGAAGTTTTCAACAGATGTACTTTCAATTCAAGGTCACCTTCAAACTCATTTTTAAGGTACAAGGAGATACTTAACGGCCAGCTAAACTTTGGACATAACTACAGCCCCACCTGAGATGTGCAATTCACTAAGGCATTCCCTTGCAGCAGTTTTTCTAATCGAACAATCTCCGAGATTAACATCTTCCATTGGCTTCCAATGCCCCAGAGCGGCATCCTGGGGACATCGCCATGGTCTGTAGGGAGGCCACGGTCCTAAGACCCTAGGCTTAGGTGGTGATCTCCCACCACTCTGAATCAAAAGAAGCAGACACATCAGTTATCCTCTGCTTTCTAAAAGAGGGACGCTTTCAGGGGGGACTTCGGGACAAATGCAAATCCGAAGCCAGGATAACAAAGTACCTGTGGTGATAAATCTGAGTGGGAGTGTCTTGGGGCTCCAAGGGTCTGTATGTCCGACTTTGCGGCGATCAGCGCAGAGACGCCGTCTGCCTCACTGTTCACTTTTCCTAAGCCCACGTCAAATGCCCTTTGGGTTAAATTAGGTACATTTAATAAACTGTGACTAGGATGGAAATAAAGACAGGCTGAAGCTGGTTCCGGCGAGTTCAGAAAGTGACACGACTGCCATTAGCGCCCAGCCGGCTGTACAACAGGGAAAAAACAACCCTCCTTGAACTGAAGCAAACGGGGGTCCCACTTCCTCAATGGGGTCTTTGCAAAACACAGGACTTAACTTTTCCCTTTCAAGAGCACCAGTGAAGTCCCTGCGTTGGGACAGAGATCGCGGTGAAGAGTGACAGACGCTCGGGCCTCGGCAAATATTCGCAAGCCCACCTGGCTGGGGAAAGGGCGGCTGCGTCTCCCGGGCCAGCCCACCAGGCTGCAGCGCAGGTGCGCAGGAGCGCGCTCGCCACCGCCCGCGGTCACCGGGCCGGACGAAGGGCACTGCAGAGGGGGAGAGGCTCGGAGAGGGACCCTGGCCGAGAGGGGCAAAGAGCAGGGGACTAACGTCAGGGGACAGGCTCGGGACGGATGGCAGTTTCCTGTACTCAGATCCCAGTTGGGAGAGGAGGGGCGCGGCAGAAGGACGGACCTGCCTGGGGACCCGGCGGCACAGGTGCGCCCTGTGCCCCCGGGGATCGTCGGGGAGGAGCACTCGCGGGCGTCAGACTCTGCGCCCAGTCTCCTGGGCCGGCACCCGAGACTGATCACTTGTTCTGTCTGTCCCTACAGGGGTCTCCGGGCGGGTTTGTCCCTCCCCAAAGCGCGGAAAGCCGAGATGGAGTGTGGGGGCGCGGCCCGGGGTGCAAGGGCGCCCGGGCCGGGTGGGCCCGAGCCGCGGGATTCGCTCGGCCTTACCGCAGGTAGCTGCCGGAGTTGTGCTGGTTGTAGTGCTCGGGCTGCGTGTGCCAGAAAAGCATGGCTGGAGCTCCGAGCGCGCCGGGCGAGCGAGGCGCTGCAGCGAGCGGAGACGCGAGCGCGCCGACCCTGCGGCCACCTGGAAGCGCCGCTCGGAACCCGTGCGGCCCCGCCGCCACGCGCATTTATGGGCGGCCCAGGGGCGGGGCCGCGGCTGGACCGCCCTACCCCCCACCCCACCCCATTCCCCCACCCCACCCACCCCACCCCCGCGGGAAGTGCGGCCGCCTCACCTGGCTGACCCGCGCCCGCGCCCGCGCCTTTCCCGGGAGCGAGCGTCCACCAGGAAGCGGGATCGAGGACCGGAGCGGCGCGGAGAGCTGGGCCTGGCCCTCCCTGCCACTCCCTATCCGCGAGGGTGGGGCCCAGGTGGCCCTCGCTACAGCCACCTGCCTCACGTACCCCTCAGCCCAGGGCGGGTCCCCAGAGCCTCTCGATGGTGGCCAGCGGTTTGGATGCCGGGGAACGCCGGCCCAGGCACCCTCGGTCCCCTCACCTTGTTCCTGTTGTCCCACTGCACTGCACACTGAAATCAGCATTTTTGGGTTTCCTTGTGTGTCGGCTGTCTTGTCTCCCCTACAAGGTAAACTCCAAGAAGGCAGGGCCTGGGCTCTCTAACTCACTTAAACCTACTGTCCAGAGCAATGCTTGGGACGTAGAAGGCGCTTCATAAATACTTGTTGAATAAAAGTGGAAAATGGAATGCATCGAGGGAGTAATCACAAAAGACTTCCCGGAGGAGGTGGCATTGAGCTGAAGCCTGGTGGATGCTGAGGAACCATTTGGAAGGAAAGCCATCCCAGGCAGAAGCGACAAGGGGTTCAGGCAGACCTGGCAGTGCCTGGGTGACCAAGGGGAGAGTTTAGGAGATGAGGTGGGAGAAGTGGACGGGGTAGATCGCGGTGGTGGGGGTGGAGCCCGGTTTTGTTGTTTTTAATCTCCCCTCCTTTTCCCTTTCCTCGGGACTTTATTCTGTTTCTAACGGAGGAGCTGCGTTTATGATTTGCCTTTTGAAAGGTCAGTCTGGCAGGCGTGGGGGCGGGGGTCCTGAGGGCGGAAGTCAGTTAGGAGGGAGGGAGTTCCACCATGTTGAGCCCTGCAAGTGATGCCTGCACCCCAACGCCTGAACAGCGGAGGCAGACACTCTGCCGTCTGGGAACTAACTGACTGAGTCCCCTGGAGGCCCCGACCCTTGACTCCCAGCTCCCCCAGGAGGGATATGGGTGAACCCTTCTCACTCTGCTGGCCCTGCTCCCCTCCCTCCAACCACAGGTCACCACTAGCGAGCCACTTCCTCCGAGCAGCTCTCCAGGACTGCCACCTCCCCATTGCTCTTCTGCCCCGAGAGGAAAGCGGAAATGTTTCCCCAGACACCGGTGGTGCTGGTAGCAGGCAGGCCCCCAAGCCCCACCCGGCCCTCCAGGAGCCACCTCTGCTGCATACAATGCGGCCCCAAGATCACAAGGCGCTTGGGGTGGTCCACATTCCAACGACTATCACGCCCGTCTCCGACAAGTGGCGACAATGCTAATGGGCCATTTTAGCCCCAGGACTCCCCACGGAGATGGTGAAGCTGACACCGTAGCTGCAGCACTGCTCAGGGTCTCTTGTCTGCCCGCCCCCTTTCCAGGTTTCACCCAGGTGTCGACCCTAAGGAACTCCCGAATAAACCCCACGACCACTAAGTTCCGTCAGGACCCCATTACCTGCACTCGGGATAATGCAGCGTGGGCAGCTCTTCTGTCATTCTAACCGCAGTCATCGTCGTCGTCATCGTCGTGCTGTGTGATCGGGAAAGTGGAGAGTGTCCCGGGATCCAGAGGGGGACTTTGGAGCTGGCCAAGTCTGCAGGGTGTGGGTGGGTGGAGGTGAAGCAGGGGTGGATGAAGGAAGGCCTCCCGCTGAGTGTGCATCACGTGGTAAGATGCAGAGCGAGGGAATGGACCCAGGAACTGAAGCTTGGTAAGGACTGAGACCCTGGGTCTACCACTTAGCTGTCAGAATGTGTGACCCTGGCTGCTTATCCCATCCAGAAATGGCATCCACCCCACCCCCCCCCCACATACACCTTTCCAACTGGATTGGCGGCTGACTTGCTTCACCATAGAATGCAGGGGACTCAACCAGTCCTAGGCTGGCCCCTAAAGTGCCACAAGGCTTCTTTTCCTTGTGCATAGCTCTGAACCACCGCCCTCAAGGTCCCAGTGCCCACCTGGTGAGGGGACCCCGCCAGCCTTCAGTCATCCCCGCCACCTAGCAGAGCGTGTCCCCAATTCCCTGAGGAATCGGCAGCGACAAGACATGCTGGCAGACTGGGGAGCAAAGACATGATTGTGATGTTAAGCCACCAGAGTGGGAGATAGTTATTTCACACCAACAGGGAAACAAGATACGGGTCCTTTGAACCTCAGTTTTACCACTGATTAAAGGGGAGTGACAAGGCTTAGCTTTGTGGTTGTGAGGAAGCTTGGGGACCCATGAGTACCAGCTCAGGAATGGTCACCCTACTGTCCAGTGGACTCCACTTTGTAGGTGACTGCATACCCTCCCCCCTCCTTAAGTTTTTCTCCCTAAGGGTAGAATCAGCATTTGAGTCCTGCTGTGTGAATAACAATGCGAGTCTCTGCCTGTGACATTTCAGCGTGCCAAGGCACAATTAGACCTGGCTTGAACCCCTGCGCCTTCTCACCAGTCTGCTGAGAAGACAGATACAGGAAACGGTCACGGTCACCAGTTCTCTTTTCTCTCTTGTGGAAGTCCGTGGTCTTCGTGTGCCAGGCCCAGTGCCATTGGCTGGGCGCTTCTCAATGCTGAGAAGTAGAATCTGAAGCTCGAGAGGCTCGATGCCGCAGCTGGGAGCGGAGGCCAGGTATCCTGAATTCCTTTCTTCACCCGATGCAGGACAAACTTGCATTGCTCCAAGGATCAGCCCAGTGTCCCTCCAAGGGCAGCAGCAAGGTCCCTGCAGAATTGTCAGGGGCCACCCTCTTGGCAGCTCCCCAAGGGCTCCCAGCTGCACTTGGAGGAGATCACTATTAAGACTCTGGAGCCCGAGAAGATGGTTTTTGATGGCTGGATGGGAATTCAAGGATGGCCTAGGTAAGGAGTGGGATTTGGCCCAGGGCAAAGGCAGTAGGGATGCTCTGAGGAGGGAGGGAAGCAGGGCGGTGGGGGGAAGCTGTGAGGCCTGGGTAGAGGCTCTGGAACTCTGGGGCCTGGCCAGCCCTCCGAGTTGTCCAGAATTTGAGCAACGGGTCAGGTCTTTGTATACCACATTCACCAGCCATGATCAGATATGTTTGCCCCTGGACAAAGGGCTCAGGTGGAACCTGGAGAGTACTCAGTGCTGTCACCTACTGATGCTCCCCATAGTGGGGCACTGAGTGCCTCAGCCCGGAGGGGACACCTCGGCCAGGCACCCCGGCCAGGCACGAGGCACCCACCACGCTCTTTGAGCTTGGGCTCTTTACTTATGGTGAAGATGATGATGCCTCTTGGAGCCACAGGGAGGACTGAGGGTGAGAGAGCAGGCAGAGGGCTCTGCCGATCAGCCAGTCACCAAGCATCATTATTACTTCTCTCAGGCTCACTAAAACCCTCAGGCTCTGGTTAGAACTATATTCTGCCAAAAGAAACAGAATTCCCTCCCCTCCACCCCCACCAAAAAAAAAAAATGGCTTAAACCGCACAGAGACTTGTGTCCTCTCAAGTTCCAGAAGTCTAGGGTTAACACTGTCCAATATGGCACCCACCTGCCACAAATGGCCACTGACCACTTAAAACATGGCTGGTCTGAATCTAGATGTGCTGGATCTAAAGCACACGCCAAGTTCAATGACTTAAATGAAGTGGAGCGCTGGTGGCTCGCACCTGTAATCCTCACTACTCAGGAGACAGATCAGGAGGATTGTGCTTGGAAGCTAGCCAAGGCAAATAGTTCGTGAGAATATCCATCGCAAAATGGGACTGTGGAGTGGCTCAAGGTGTAGACCTTGAGTTCAAACCCCAGAACCACAAAAAAAAAACCAAAAAAACCAAAGACTTATATGAGAAAAAGAGGCGAGGATAGAGCTCAGTATTATATATATATTATATATTTTTATACCAATCATATGATAAATGGTAATATTTTTAATGTATTAAACACTACGAAAATTAATTTTACCTGTTTACTTTTACTGCAAAAATTATACAATGGCTAACATTTGTGACTTGCTTTATATTCCATTGGACAGAGCTGACATGAAGCAGTGGCTGCCAACCAGGTGACTTGTCCCCACCTCCCACCGCAGAGGACAATAGCAATCTCTGGAGGCTCCCCACTCAGTCGGGAGTGATACCAGGGAAGCTGCTCCACATCCTAATTTCTCACAGCAAAGAATTAGCTGGGGTAAGGGAAACCCTGGTTAGAAATAAATAACCATGGCACCCAGTCCCCTTTTTGGGATTTTTAGGCAGCACTGGGGTTTGAACTCAAGGCCTCATGCTTGCTAAGCAGGTGCTCTACCACTTGAGCCACTCCACCAGCCGTTTTTGTCATGGGTATTTTCAAGATAGGGTCTCTTGAAGTATTTGCCCAGGGCTGGTTTCAAACAACAATCCTCCTGATCTCTGTCTCTTGGGTAGCTAGGACCAGCGCCCAGCTTTTTTGTTTGTTTGTTTTGTAGTGCTAGGGATGGACTCCCCATTCTTCTTCTTTCTTTGCTGTGTGTACCTTTCTTTTGCAAAGTATTGGTACAGCAGCTACAGGAACTCCAGCTATTATGACAGCATTTCTACCAGGCAGAAAAAGGAAGGCAGAATATGGGCTGGGCACACCTTTCATCTTCAAAGATGCACCCGCCACTTCTGAACCCAGTCACCTGCCCTTTTCTTGCAGTGGTCTGAATCAGATGTACTGGAGATGTATTCCTTATTGGAGTGGCTTGTGTCCAGCCCCCCACCCCCCAAAAGATTGACAGTTCTCACTGAGAAAGATGGGAGAATGGATATGAGGGAAACT